TGCTGTTCCATGCATGTTGAGTTATTTACACTGTTAAAGATTTGGATTCTCATGCTAAACAACAACACTGTTACAGATTTGGATTCTCATGCTAAACATGGCCAAAGTTTAAAAAAACGGTTTGGACGTATTTCTGTGCCAAATACACACTTCCGGGTTTCTTACGAGTTTAAGTTGTATGAGTTATAAAAAGTTCCTCTGGCTTCTGCCGTGGGACTTTCTGTCTGTCTCTCTTTCTGTCTGTCTGTCTCACTCTCACTGTCTTTCTCTCAGTGGGCTGATTGTGAGTGTAGCTCTGTCATTGGTTTATACTGTCTGCAGCCCAAGTATGGAGAGAGGTTACTTTTCACTTCGAAGACAAGCACTGCCAGTCCTGCCATGTGATCAGCATGACATTTCCCATCTGTGAGCCAGATACACACAGCTGCTGGCACTAACATTTACACAAACACACACACACACACACACACACACCATCAGTTTAACCCTCTTAGAAACAGTCTCATGTGGACATAAGCACACAGTACATCTTTCAGGAATAACTCAATTCATGTTTATACTAACAATGTGCAGCCACACATAGATGTTTAAACCTTCAATGACATTGAAAAATGCTTTTAAAAGTGAATTCAGCATGCAGTGTTAAATATCTTATAGAAACCGTTCAACCCACACCATTAAATTATAGAAAAAAATCACTAATATCAACCGATAACCAATATGATGCTGATATATTGTGTATCTGCTGGTCCATTTTTTTTTTTCTACATTACAAAAGTGAGTGAAAATGTTTCATGCTAATGAGAAGTTGGGGGCAAATGAGCTTAAGTGTTATGATGACCAGTGTCATTTTAGTATTATTCATATGCTATTATTTATTAATATTTTGAATTTCTTAATTTTAATTTTAGTTTGTTTTAGTAATTTTAGTATTTTTTTTTTATATTTGTATTTATTTAATTTATTTTTATTTGAGTTTTAGACGTTTTAGTGACTTCAACTTGAACTTAGTTTAATCTACTATTTCTATTTTATTTTAGCTTCATTTCAGTTAATAAAAATGTTTTAATCGTTTTAGTTAACAATTAGGCCAGACAAATATATTTGTAACTTCTTTTGATTTTTAGTGTCAAATGTAACCTGCACATGTTCTTGACAAATTCAGTGAGAGGTATGAGGGAGCTTACTTTCAGCCACATGTGGAATGCCTTCCTTTTTTCTCTCTTTATGTTTGTGAATTACTGTATTGTGTTTGAGTAGCGGAGTGTTTGAGCTGCCACACATCTCTTGTTCTCGTATTACAGAGCAGATCTGCTACACGACTATCAGCTACTGTGCTGTTCATCAGGAATTTCGCACACAAACACAGCAATGCCAGCGCTAACATCTTTGGATTGGATTTGTGTGCTTATGTTTCTGAGATAAGAAAAGCAACAGTGCACTTTGTATTGATGTGTGGGATCTGGGATGCCAGCATCTCCATGTGTTTTGATGCATTTCAAAAGACCAACTTCATACACACACACACACACACACACACAGACACACACATACGATTGCATCTGCTAAAACAGACTACAGGGTTTAAATACTGAAGCCAGTGGGTAAAAAACATTCCGAATGAAATGAGAAGTGGGAGACGAATGAGAACTAGAAAGGAAGAAATCGAGATGGAAAATTCAGTGACAGTTTAGAGTGAGAGAAAAAGAGAGAGACCCACGTGGTGGTATTGCTGTCTGTGAGGGTCATTCTGCTATTCATAGCCAGTAGTTCCTTCAGGTCAGTTTAACTACTACAACAGGCACAGGCTGAAAGCGTCCCTTAAAAAAACCATAATATTAACATATAGGCTATTACTCACCCCCCACACACAGAAGAAATCCAACAACTAGAGCTGCAGGGTAAGTATTTTTTTTCCATCTTTGTTTTGATTTTATCATAAAAGTTTTGTTATGTCGAGCTGGTGTGTTTTTGCCTGTGATACTTTAGGTGTAACATTGCCCCCAAAAGTGAGGTAAATCAGGGTGAAATTTGGTGTCCTTAATTGGAAAATCGATGAATAAATAAAGCAAATAATCTTTATGGAATGTTCTCATTTAGATAGTGTCAGGATTATTATGGACTCATTGTGTTGTGTTTTCCCTCCACATGTGTTCCGTGTCTCCGTTAATTAGTTATTCCATGCACCTGTGTTTCCCCAATTATCCTGTGTTTATAAGCCATAGTCCATTCAGTTCATGTTTGTCAGAGATTATACGTCAACCCTGGTGTTTCCTGCACTCCTGTCTGCCCCGTGTATTTCCTTGGATGTTTGGATTAAAAGACTATTGTTTTCATGTACTCCTGGTCTCCTCGTTCCTCGCTCCGCGCTCCTCACCGGAGCTATGTAAATGTGTGTGAACTTTAGACTCTTTAGATTATTTCAAGGTCAGGCATAGGGACTTTAGTAGAATGGAAACTACAGAATGTTTTCATCTTGAGAAATACTGAAATTGGCGATCTGCCTTCAACAGATATTGACATTTTATTGGCTTATTTGTGTTTTGTGAAATGTATTCAGTTTTTGGTAGCCTATGCTATATAGAGTGAGTAAAACAGAAACTTAAAAGTGAAATTGTTCTGTATGTTACTGACGTCCTTTATGGTACAGTGAAAGGATACAGTGGTACATTTTCACTTAGAAATTGCTAGTCAATTTTACAAACAATTACAAGTAACTTATTGAATTAACCAAAATCTGAACATTTGAAATTGTATTTCCTTGTAAAATGTACTCTAGTAATGTTTTATTTAAAACTTAAAAAAATGGTTTTTACAATGCAGACTGCAGAGTACACTGAAAATACTAAAAAAACTATTTGCTTCCATTCATTGATTCGACGGATTTATTACAACCGATTTAAGATGTAGAAATAATACGAAATGTTGTTAATCATAAGGTTGTAATAAAATATTAATTCTGCACTTATATGAAGTTTTGGTAACACTTTAGAATAGGGAACACTTTTTCACTATTAACTATGTCTTTTCCCTCAATAAATTCCTATTTTGCTGCTTATTAATAGTTAGTAAGGTATTTGTTAAGTTTAGGTATTGGGTAGGATTAGAATAAGGCATTAATATGTGCTTTATTAGTACTAATAAATGGCTAATATTCTAGTAATATGCATGCTAATAAGCAACTAGTAACTAATTTTTATATATTTGTGAAGTTTCTGTTGCTTACCTTTATGTGATGCCAAATGGAACAATATTGGTGTATTTGTGTAAATACGCTACACAAGTTTGTAATAATTTAGATTTTTTTAATGTTAATTGTTTGTGTTTTTATGCTCACAAAGGCTCAAGTAAAAACAGTAATTTTGTGAAACATCATTACAATTTAAATGAAATGTAAATGCAAAATATGCCATTTATTCCTGTGATGGTAAAGCTGAATTTTCAGCAGCCACTACAGCAGTCTTCAGTGTCACATGATCCTACAGAAATCTTATTAATATGCCTAATTTGTGCTTAGTATTTTTGTGTAAACCTTTCAAAAAGACTGGAGTTAAATAAATTGTAATAATATTTCACAATATTACTGTTTTACTATATTTTTTAATCAGATAAATAAATAAATAGTGTAAATGTGAGAAGTCTGCATATGAAACAGTGCATCAATGTCACACAGACCTCTGAGGTGAAGGCCTGCCATATTATCTGCAACACATTAACAGTTCTCCTCACAGGATTTAGCACTTATTTTCACCCTCAGTGTGAAGACCAAGTGGTTTCAGAGATATTATCAGCAAACACCTCACTGATACAAAGAAGCTGTCACCCTTTAGAGGAGATTTTCAACTTTGTTGTTAGAGCGGTGAAGTCAAGCTGCAGAAGTCTCTGAGGTCTCAGCTGAATGAAGGACCCTCTTCCTGTCTGTAATTAGTCCTCTTCCATGAGGAGAGACTGTACAGAGAAACGCAGCTAGAGGCTATGGGCTGATGCAGCTGAAATATTTATTGCCTTTTTTATTATAGCCCCATTTTCTGCTCATATAGAGCTGTCACGAACTAGGCAGAGAAATACAGGGATAAAATGAAAGACGACCGTTGATTTGAATATATATATATATATATATATATATATATA